AAAAAAAATATATATATATATATATAGTAAAGCAACATGTTAAGAGAGAAAACAAGGCCAGGTGCAGTAGCTCATGCCTATAATCCCAGCACTTTGGGAAGCCGAGGTGAGAGGATTGTCTGAGCCCAGGGGTTCAAGGCCAGCCTGGACAACTTGACGAGACCTCGTATCTAAAAAAAAAAGAGAGAGAGAGAAAATAAGACTTTTACAATCAGAAAAAAAACCCACTAACATAGTCTCAAAACTATAATTTTATTTTTCTGAACGAGCAAACAGTAAAAAAATGTTAAACCAGATATCATTTATTAAAGATGCTTTTTATAAACAAATTTTAGAACTAAGTTGTCATTTGAGTCTAAACCATACAATTTAACAGTACAAGTCTATGCCTATTGATTTCCTCCCATTTCAAAAGTTATAAAGAGGGTTTAATGGTTCAGAAAAAGTCACCTATAACTAAGTGGTCACATTTCCCAGTTATGCTTGCTGTCTTGATATAATTATCAATACTGTCCTCTTTTACTCTTGAAAGTATCCTCATATGGACAATAAACTACATGGTCATCCAGCTCTAACATTCTCAAAATGTATTATTTGATTAGTATGTCTTAGGATCACAGTCCAAAATAACAGAAATCTAAGTAGAGACAGGTAAAATCTACTTTAAAAGATATTATTTTCTGCTGGTATGGTGGCTCATGTCTGTAATCTCAGCACTTTGGGAGGCTCGGGCAAGAGGATTGCCTGAATCTAGGGGTTCAAGACCAACCTGGGCAACATGGCGTGACCTCATCACTACAATAAATAAAAAAATTAGCTGAGTGTAGTGGCATGTGCCTGTAGTTCCAGCTACTTGGAAGGCTGAGGCGGAAGAATCGCCTGAGCCCAGCATGTCAAGGCTCCAGTGACCATAAGTGTGCCATTGCACTCCAACCTGGGCCACAGAGTGAGACTCCAACTCAAAAAAAAAAAAAGATTATATTTCATTACCACATTACAGATATAATTCTTCTTGCTTTAGATTATGTATTCAAGAAGTTTAACATTTAAATTAATTTAGTTCCAAGAGAACTAACTTGAACTAACTTGCAACATTAGCATCACCTTCTCATGACTAGGGAAAGACCCCTAAAGTATTCTCTGAATGAGTTTAAATAAATAAGAAAATGAACCCTAAACAAACACAGAACTAACTATGCAAGAGTTGTGAGAACCAACTCCCAAAAACAATCACTTTCAAACTAAATTATTCCAAGATATCTAAATCAGCATCATAAGTCAAAATAATGAATAAACACACATCAAAAAATTATTTGAGCTGAGGGCCGTTTCTCTAGAGACCTACACTCCTCCATTCCATTCCACTCCTGAATACAAATTTTGCTTTTCAATGGCTACACAAGGAAAGATTCAGGACTTAAGGTCCTGGACACTACACTTCACCTTTCAGAAAAAAAACTTAAAAGGAAAAAGTGGCCAGGCGCAATGGCTCATGCCTATAATCCCAGCATTTTGGTAGGTCGAGGTGAGAGGACTGCCTAAGTCCACGGGTTCGAGACCAGCCTGGGCAATTTGGTGAGACCACATCTCTACAATAAATCAAAAACTGAGCTGGGCATGGTGGAGCGTGCCTGTAGTTCCAGTTATTTGGAAGGCTGAGGCAGAAGGATCACCTGAGCCCAGCAGGTTGAAAGAATGCGACTCCAACTCAAAAAAAAAAAAACTG